ACTGACGTCGACTGGCGACGATGAGGCATACGAAGATAAAGAGCACGCAGTAAGGCGGAGGGGCGTACAGATATACGCGCGATGCTTTTAATGTAATTGATCATTTACTGACGTAGCTTACCGCGCGACACACACCACGATACAAACTGTATATATATATAATAATACTATATAGTACTATATACTATATATATATTATATATAAGATAGATATATCTACTATCAGGTCATAGTGAAATAATAATAGATAATTCGATCATTCTATAATAATATATTATTATTCACTCCTGTCTATATTGAACACTCCTGATACTACATGGCAAGTACGATGTAAGATAATTTGGCAGGACCGTGCGTGAGAGAGATAGCCGCTAGAGATATATGTGCCAGGCCACACGTGCCGACGGCAAGCGTCTACGTCGTGTATAATTTATAGCTGCACTTCAGATCGTGTAAAGCAAGGAAATACAATCATGTTGTTGCTGCTCGCCGCCTCGCGGGCGTGAGCGCCACCATCGGCAATAAGAAAGCCGATATCTCCGATTAAATAGACGCAAGCACGCACGCACGCACACACGCATGGACGAACGCAAATAAAAACATACACATTAACTTATCAGGCAATGAAGAACCCGCCCTGGAAAAATAACACTCATGTTTGCTTACCATTGTCTACCGCGACACAATTGAGCGACACAGGTGTGGGGGGTGGGGGTGTCGCGGTGTGGGGGGTGGGGGGTGTCGCGGTGTGGGGGGTGTGGGGTGTATGTGAAAACGAACGATATTTCTTACGGCGAGAGAAACAGGCCATCAGGCACTAAACGCCCATCAAGGCATCGAAAAGCATCACGGCGCGCGCGCCACTCATCGGCGACCAATCTACTAGTACCAGCAGTGTCTTATTACAGACACGATAGACAATATAATATACATTATGACACTCCTGCTGGTACTACAGTGCACGCGCGCGCATAGAATCACCAGCACACGCGTGCGTGCACACTACACGCGCGCGCGTAGAATCACCAGCACGCGCGTGCGTGCACACTACACGCGCGCGTAGAACCACCAGTAGACGCGTGCGTGCGCAATACACATGCGCGCGTGGAATTACCAGCACACGCGTGCGTGCACACTACACGCGCGCGGCATACCCCGAACAAGCTCTCTTACCGTTTCTAGCGCAGACGCTACAACACAAGCGATACTGAACCCTATACACTAACGTTATACAGAGATCAGTTCCCGGTGACAATCGTAGTGGACGGCGGGTTATATAGCAATACACAGGCCGTATAGTGGCAGTATAGTGGCAGTTGCTACGGCAAGCGGCAAGATTAAATCGTTTCTCTATATAAACGATGCAAACATGCACTCGTCCGATTCCCGCATGTAACGACTAGTTATATACATTGTAACTCTCTAAGTAGATATTCTACTAGATATATTCGAACGAATACAAACACGAAGGCCAACAGCTGCTGTCTAAGTTCAAGTATAAAGAGCACCATTACTAATAATGGTTCACGTATACAATTGCTTATAGTTTAATACAAATAAGGGGCGAAAGACAGGGGCTAATGATATATGGTCATATATTAACCCTTAAGTATAACCCTTCAAAAATAGCATTCAGGCGTATTTATAAAAAATAAAATAAAAACCGCCTCATGTGAAAAAATAAGATAATGGGGCCACCCGAACGGCCAATCTTCTCTCAATCACACACGCGCACGCACCCATGCACACGCGCATACACACGCCCGCACGCCCTTCACCATCGGCACACATTTTAAGAAACCGCTACTGTTACATTGCGCATTACATTACATTACGTTACATTACATTACATTACGTTACGTTACATTACATTACATTACATTACGTTACATTACTTAACATTAGTTTACGCAACGCGTACATATCACCTGTCATGCATTACAAGCTATTACATGGAACATCACACAACGTCGACCCTATTGACGAGAGATCTATGTTCTGCAACTGCATGCACGATACATTACGTTGATTTACGTTGCGTAAGCGTAACGTATCGCAAACGTAGCGTAACGTTACGTAACGTAATGTTATGTTACGTACGTGTTACGTGACGTAATTGATTGTACCGCTTGCATTACGTTACGTTACGTTTTTTTGCGTCACGTTAAGTTGCGTCACGTTACGTAGCGTCAGCGATAGGGTGACTAACGTAAACCGCACCGAGCGTTTGCCACCGTAGCACGCGACGCGGGCACAGCCACGCCTAGTGGTGACCTTACTCAACGAACGTCTTAGCGTTAGCTCACTAGGTGCGCACCCGATGCACCCACGCATGGTTTTGGTGACACGACACACGGTCACACTGTCACAGTCGGTGACATCTCACGCGCTGTCGCGTCGTTATGTTACAACGAACACATACAGTGACACTAACCTTACATATATTCAAATGTGAATAATAATTATTACATTATTATTATCTATTATTATTCACTCCTGATATAATGGTTTCTATATACTACATTTGATGTACGTTTCTATGATATCAGCAGAAGTACATAAAAACAAGAGCCGCAGAAGCGTCTGGGCTCATCTGAGGTCTGTTGCTACGGTTATAAACGTAACATTTAAGTCG